TTAATAAACGAAGTAACGTAAAGATAATTAAAAATAAATTTCAAATATCAATTGTCACAATTGAAATTACTTATCCGTACTGAACCTAATCGTAAGAATAATTATCACCGTTATTTTTTATCCATAGGGGAAAAAGAAATATTTTTTAATATCACTGATAATAAAATTATCTAATGTTCAACAAGGACGACATATACCTTCTTTCACGTTTTGTTTCACAAAATGGACCCATGACACATCCGTGAGCCTTCACGAGAATCTTTATTTTTTTGTCTTATCGATTATTCCTCGATTTTTCGTGTAACTCGCGACGAACGATTTTTGTACGTTACAATATCACAATAAATGCCAGTCGAGGATGGATCGTCTCGTATCATTCGTTTCTCTCTTCCCATCGCTCATATTGCTTTACCTCGTTTTCACCCAGAAAGAAAAAATTACAAAAAAAAAACCCCCACAGCGACTCCTTTTCGTTTATAGTGTACGCTTTAAATTCTAAACACAGAAAATACTCGCGTAAACCGTAAACGGAAAGAAGCATATTTGTATTATATATTTCGCGTATCTGTGACCGGAAGCGCCGTCGAAGATAAAATTCCCGCCCGACCTCGATCCCATTTTTCGAAACGACCCAAGTTCTCGTTGGCTCTTATAATTAGAACTACGAACTATACTCTCATCTTAAAGTCACGAAGGTGGATTACGACACACAAGATGGACGTACTCGAAAGAGTTCCTAAATAATAATCATTATTCCTCTGTTCTTCTCGCGGAAACATTGCACCCTCACTTCTGTTGATTTTCCTTTTTTACACACTTTCGAGCATATTTTTTTTGTTTGCGTTCCACGATCGCGCGCGCTAATCACTAAGTTTACGGATAGTTAATAGTAACACGTTGAAGAGGGCAGCAGGGTTCAAGCCCCGGGTTTAAGAAGACAAAGAAAAACACATCCTCTCTCGAATGTCATTTTGTTCTATCGAATGACATACACAGAACGTACACAGCGCGCCTCGTAAATCTTACTCGTGTTACCATTTGTGTTGTTTGTTTCTATCTCGAAAGAATGGTAATTTGTTTGTCCCTTATATCATCGTAGTTGCACGTTCCTTAAATTATCCCACCTTATCGTATAATCATATACATATA